GAATTAGGTCGCAAGTTGCAGTCCACAAAAGATTTTGGCAAGCCACGGTATGGCTATAGATCAATAATCATGTAAATTCATATACATTTTGTAGGCGGAGTAGTTCTGAATCATCTGTAGATATCTGGTTCGTGGTCGTATTTTGTGTTCCACTGGGGCGCGGATGAGTTTGAGGAGTTTGATGCCTGGATGGGGCTGGGTCCAAACCTATCCATATTTCACAGGATAACCATCCATCAACGAGCTAACCATGGATGGTTATGGATAGGGTAATGATAGGTTGATGGATGGGTACCAGGGTTATTCTCTGAAATATGGTGATAGGTTGATCCTACCAGGGTTTTGACACATAACCACTTGGGAAAATTTAGAAAAAACACATATTGGAATGTTAAGCGACAGGTTTTCGTTGAACAGACCGTAGCTGGTACCGTTTTCGCTGGCAGATAGCGAAGATCTCCCCGTCTCTGGCGTCTCTGATTCCGGCGTCCGGGGTCCCAATGGAGATCCAATGGGGATCCAATGGGGATCCGATATGTCGGGAATGAACTTGGGTACATATCCCATATCATTATAAATTGATATCATTACCAGGAGTCAAACATCACCAACAAGTAATAGCAATATTCCATTATATGTACATCATTCTAGTACATTATCCCATGATATTGCCATCATTATAGTATATTATCCCATATCATAACCATTATATAGATCATTAATGGGAACTTTAATGGGAACTATAAATATTAATATCCCATGATTACTATAATAATATCCCATTATATCCCATAAATAGTATTAATATTCCCTTTAATACCCTATGGATCTAGTCGTAGCTTCTTAGGAAGTGGGACTGGGGTATGATTTGGAGGGTGATTTGTACCTTCTCACAGCGGCCATGGATCCATAATGATCAATTCGGAGTGTTGACCCAACAGGATTGTTGGGGATGTGGCTCAAAATGAATCTTGACCTGGACATACAAAGTGGGGCCCCCTAGATAGCTAAGTTGGTGAACATAACTCCAATAACTATAGTTTATGGTACCTATAACTATAGTTAATGGGGTTTATAAACCATCTTATAACTGAGGAGGCCCCACATTGTACCTGGACTTTGGATCGATGGACATATCCTCGAGATCGGTTCAGACATGTCTAAGACCTTCAGTCCATTCTGTTCCAGTTTGAAACCTGCAGTATTTGCCCACGCCTAAAAAGTAAAAGTGTCACCCTTAGTTTTTCAGCAAACAAGTTGTCCAAGAAGGGTAACAGAATCAAACTAGCCATGGACTTCTGTGTCTTTTCCCATCCCTTGGACATGTTTTCCAATTGTCCCAGAAATGAAAATATAACATTGTGTCTTGAGATGATATACATGTAGTGCCCTTCAGTTGTGTTTGCTAGTTATCAACACCAATACAGACATACCAAAATTTGAATCCTTCACTTACTTGGCTCACGACCAAGGGCACCACCCCTTTCAATATCTTATTTACAATTACATCCCTCTTATATAGATATATAATATCTCCTTATTTCCCCATCAAATGGTTGGTTTGCCCATTGATATGGCCAGTATGATCCCTATTATCTATCTATCTATCGATCGATCTATCTATCAATCGATCTAATCTATCGAATCTATCCAATCTATCCAATCTATCCAATCTATCGAATCTATCGAATCTATCGAATCTATCTATCTACCTATCTATCTATCTATCCATCCATCCATCCATCCATCCATCTATCTATCAATCTATCAATCAATCTATCTATCTTTCTAGCTATCTGTCTATCTATCTATCTATTTATCTATCTGAGTCTATCTGTCTAGTCTGTCTATCTATCTATCTATCTAGCTAGCTAGCTATCTATCTACCTATCTATCTATCTATCGATCGATCTATCTATCTATCTATCTATCGATCGATCTATCTATCTATCTATCTAACTAACTAACTAACTAACCTAATCTATCTATCTATCTATCTATCTCTCTCTCTCTCTCTATCTATCTATCTATCTATTTATCTATCTATCTATCTATCTATCTATCTATCTATCTGTCTATCCAATCTATCGAATCTATCGAATCTATCGAATCTATCGAATCTATCTATCTACCTATCTATCTATCTACCTATCTATCTATCTATCTATCTACCTACAGCCCTATTCCATCCATTATCTCCGCATCATTTCTGTTGTGTTCTTCCCCATTTTTGGGGCCAGTGCCCTATAGTGGTGCCCCGGCCATCAGGGGGACAGCAGGAAGAGCCGCACGCCCAAGCGCCGCGGTTGGAAACGTCTCAGCATCACGGAGCACCTTGACGTAAGCGGTTGGTCCTTTATAGGGCTTGATGGATCCAGTCGTACCTTCTTAGGAAGTGGGACTGGGGTATAAAACTTACTATAATTTGGAGGCTGATTTGTACCTTCTCAGACAGTGTTTGGATCCATAGGGAGGGTTTGATGGAAGGGAGAGGTGTTTTGGTATCAAAAATAATGGCTAAGCCATGAAAAATCATGAAAAAGCAGATAGAATACAGTCGTTTTAAGCATCGAATTTGATTTTTGAACAAGACAACATGGATTTCAAGAGGAAAAAATGGCTATGCCATTTAACATTTACTGAAGGGTGATTATATAGTCGCCCTTTTGATGAGCATATTGATATCTTGCCTATCTATAGCTGAAAAAAAATATTCAAGACTACGTCACGTTGCGCCTTTGTCGGGCAAGTGTTTGTTTATTTCTCAGAGGACGAATCCTAAACCTGACAAACCCTAACATTCCAAACAAGTGTCCAAAAACATTAACCCAAAGTTCTAACCTCCATTAAAACAGCATAAAACCCTTAAAGGCTCTCAATTTGTTGGGCAGACCGGTGAATGGGTGGGCAAAGTTCCGAGTTTGGGTCTGTGGGATTCGCCAGGAAGATTTGCTGGGGTTTCCAGATCCCCAATAGCTGGATGGTTTTATAGTGGAAATATAGTGGAAATATAGTGGAAATATAGTGGAAAATCCATGAAAATCCCTATGAACATGGATGATTTAGATATATTTAGATTGATTTAGGGGATGTCCATGGATTTCCCATTTTAGTACACCTCCATATATCATAGGTGATGCTTGCGCATGCTGCAAACTGTTTATTTATGTCCAGTTGAATCAACACATACGGTGCTATAGCTAGCTAAATGATGGGACAGTCACAATAGTCACAGTTGTCGCGATAGGACTGGATAGACTCCTTCGTGCAACGACTATGGGGAACAAAGGTTAGGTTAAGGCAGCCTCCTTTGTGGATGAACATGTGTCAGTTCCACTTCCATCCTTAAACTATAAGATCATGTAAGATTCTGTAAGATCCATGAAGATACCAATGGCCTTCCCCACAATTTACGGTCAAAAATGAATCACTATAATTGAAATTATAGACAATATAATTGATTGGTGGTTTTGAACATTTTTTATTTTTCCATATATTGGGAATAATAAGCCCAACTGACTTTAATATTTTTCAGAGGGTTGAAACCACCAACCTATTTCCCCACATTTTCCTATGATTCCCCAAAGTTTCTAGGGGATTCCTTCCATTGCCAGAGACGGCCCAGTTGGTTTTTGGCTTCGCTCCGACGGGTCCGAGGACCATGCCTGTGTCGCCCAGTAGTGCTCTGCAGATTGTGATCAACAATCCTGGAAAGCTGGAGCTGGGGTAACCCAGTAGCTGCGAGCTGGATGGGCAAACTCGCTGCATTTTTTGTGTTTTTTTTTGAGGGATTTTTTAGATAGCTATACATCTAAGTGTATATAAAATTCATGGGTTTATAAACTTGTTTTTTTGGGGATATACAGCTATATTATATTATATTATTACATAGTTTATGGGTTTAAATGGATATGACATATATTTTATAAGAAAACTGTACATAAATTTCATGGGTTTATAAACAAAGATCACCAATGTGTGACTGGATGTCAATCAACTATCGGGACTATGGTCCTGGCCGTGGGTTGTTAGCAACTGAAACTCGACTCCGTACCGTACCTGGCATTTTTCATAGGTAAATCATATAGGAAAACACAGGGGAAATCGTAGGATGAACATAGGGAAACGGAGGTTTCTAGCTGGGAAAACAGTTGAACCTCAAGTTAGCTTCAGGTAATCAGCTCCATGGCTGGAAATTCCCTCATTTAATCCGACCATGTTCCCATTCGCCGACCATGTAGTTCAATGATTTGCCCAGCTAGAAAACTTCCATGCAGTTCGGGGGGGTATTTTCCTGTGATTTTCCCAGATTTGTCCTATGATTTCCCGATCTCCGGCCAGGTCTTTCTACTCCGTGGACCAGGCAGTTGAGACCCGGAGGGGTGGTTGGCATCGGTTGTTGGCTAATGCCCCTAGAAACACTGGGAACATCACAGGAAATTCGGGAAATAAGCTGTAGATGGAGGTTTTTTTTTAATGTTCATTTACACAATTTGCTGGGATCATCTATAAAACGAGGATCTAAGACTCTAAGATGCACAAAATCTCTCTATTACTATGGCCATCAATGGAAGAGTAAAAATTTCGCTGGGAGAATCATCGCTGGTGGATTGTCAGCAGATCCACCTGATGGAGGAGCTGCTGAAGCGGAAAAAAAATGGGTTGGTTCATCTATTAGTAATGGAAGTGATCAATGAATATGTATGTATATTGATGGTAAATGTTACCATATATAGCATACATGGATCCTATGGGTATGTATATATAATAATATATATAATAATATATATAATAATAATATATATTATTATATACATATATATTACAATATATATATATATAATAATATATATATATTATAATATAATATAATATTATATATATACTGAATTCTAACGTGGAACCTAACATGGCTATTCCGAATAGGGCACCTAACATGGCACCTTCAGTATAATATAAGGTTTGTCACCCAACATCCGCTGGTAGCTGCGGGCTCAAAACAGTCATTGACGCTCTGGCCGGTTTTCACTGTGGCGAGCCGAGCAGGGCGGTGGCTTTTTGTTTGGCTCAAAATGGGGTAACCATGGACCCCCAAAAAACATGGTATCTCTAGTGACTCTAGGATTATCTAGGGGTACCTTATTCCATAATCTGGAGTTTTTCCTCCCGATGTAGAAAATCCAATGGAGCAATGGTCAAGTTGCAGCTGTTGATGACGTCATCTCTTCCACACAAGCATTTCCTGGAGAAGCCCTGGTTTGGTGATGGATCGCTGGCTGTACACTCTCAATCAGCACCTCAAATGTGGCAAAAGTAGGAAAATACATGTAGATACCATGGAATTATTATTGGGATAAATTGAGGATCCAGGTATCATGTTAGTTGTAATATTGTTGTAATAGTAAGGTTCACCCTCTCCTAACGTAGAAAAAATATTGTTCCGCTCCTTGGGACAAGGTCGAGGGAGATTTTCCAATGTGGCGCTTGATCCTTTCCATGCTGGCCACCCTGGTCACAGGTGGGTCGATGGTGCCGCTTTTTCATCCGTCTCCCCATGAAAAGTGACGTTGGATGATTGTGGGGTCCACCATGTTGGGACAAAGAACGTTCGGACGCCTGTTTTCTGGGTCGATTTTTGGGTGAAGGAAAGCAACCAAGCCGCCGGATCCACCCTATGCATGATGAGCTTCGGTTCAGTAGATGGGATTTTTCCTCAGCACGGGCCCCATTTTTGAAGTGCATCTCTTTAAGACTTATTTCAAAGCTTGACAGTGGTCACTATTCGAGTCACAGTGACTGCAGGGACTCAAAGATACTGATGTACCAAAATCAACAATAGAAAAATGTGCTGTTAGATAGACCCTCAAAGTATTGTATATCATTATATCAAAGTCCGAAAAACAAAAAAAAACAGATGTCAGCATACCTTAACAATCCTTAAGAGTGTAAGATGCCTCTGTTGGATAAGTTCAACATCCAGATATACCGCAAAAGCGCCAAAACAAGTACTACAACTCAGTGGGATGTTGCAAATCTCTACCATCCCATACATTGGACCTATAGACACCCCATGACCTGTAGATATCAATGGGAATTTCAGGATCCTAAAATGGAGGTACGTTAGTACCATATAAGGCCATATTTTGTGGGGATATTCCCTTACATAGGCCTTATATAGGCCTTATATATGGTAGGTACCTCCAATTTAGGATCCTGAGATGGCCATTGATAGATATATACTAGCCAAGAGTTTTCAGCTGTGCCGTTGAAAAATGTCCTGGTTGGTTATTAGGGACCCGGGAGTTTTGCCTGGGTTATTGATGGTTATCGGGGGATTGTGAACGAAGCCATAGTAGGGAACTGGGCCCAATTGGTATTTCATGAGATGGGATAGAGTCTCGGATAGAGGTATTTTGAATCGCTTGCAGATATGGCCAACAGCTTTAAATGGGATTATAACATAACTCCTGCAACTAAGGTGAAACACATGTCACTTAAAGGCTTAAAGGATGTTACAAGTTATAAGCCCGTCATAACTTGCGATTTAGGGCTATAATTATAACTGCACCGTCATAGCGAACGATTTTGAAACTGTTTTTGTGGTTTTGGAGGCCAAAAAGTGAGCCTCTATTGCTTCACTTGCGCAACACCAGACACCTATGAGGCGCGTTTTCAACCCCCGGAAAGGCGGAAAATCCACCATTTAAGATATGGCTTCAATCTGGGATTTCCTAAAAAGTGACCCATCAACCATTGGATGATATTGAAACATATTCTTTTTGTCAAGTTTTTGTTTGATGAAACATTGATGATTTGCCATTGCCGGGTTAGATGAAGAGTATATCTCAGGCTTGGGTTGTATCTTCCGATAAATCTAACTTGGTATGCTGGAAGATCCTCCATGAACTAATAATATGTAGATTGTAGATCTGATTTTATTCAACACAACGACGCGGACCTCTGTTGATTGTTCACTGCCATGTGAAGTACCGGAAAGGGAGTCAGAATCCACCTGAAACTTGGGGTTCCTTGGTTTTGGTCCTTAGAGTGGGGTTATATAGTTGATGTCAGGGAGTTAATTGATGTTAATTGTGTTGAAATCCCAACATGACAGCCATTCTGACAAAGTCTTGGACATGTTCTCACCTGGCTCATAAACTTAAGGAAACGACACCTTATTTTGGTATTCATAAGCCCATATAAGCCCATATACCCACCATTCCGTTGAGCGCTCTCAGTTGCCAGTTGGCACAGCTTCCCCTAAAACAGGTTGGCATGATTGCGGGCATGGCGACGCTTGGAGTTAGTTCCGGTCTGTCTGAAAATGGGTTTTTTCCCCACCAAAATGGCCCCTTTTATAGGTAAAATGTGCGAACATGATGATTAACCAATGGATTTCGTGCAGTACCTGGTTGGTGGTTTGGAACATGAATTTTATTTTTCCATATGTTGGGAATAATAGGCCCAACTGACGAACTCATATTTTTCAGAGGGGTTGAAACATGTTGAAACCAACAACCAGGTACCCTATTTTCAGACAAACCGTTAAATTTGCTGTGTCGGGAGTCGGCAGCGAGTTCGATGTGCCGGGTTTTTTCTGAAAATTGGACGAAGGAAAAAAACGGCCGAGGTTGGCACGATTCAGCAACTGCTGTGAGGTTCAGGATGTCCAAGTCACAACTATAACTATACCCTCTGGTAATTTAACATAGCTATTGAACATGACCATAAATAGTGGATTTTCCCATTAAAAATGGTGATTTTCCATAGCTATGTTAAATTACCAGAGGGTATAACTATTTTAGTTAATGAATTGAGTCCGACTTCTCAATGATGACTGTGACTGTAGCTCAGACTACAAACTTAAAGGTTTATTCAACTCTAAATAGTTCACATTACCACAAAAAATCTCCAGTGAGTATCGGCCATGTCGACCAAGGCTGTGAGGCAGCGTAGGCGGACAACCAACTCCCACAGCTTTTGGTCCGATGTGCTGAGGAAGTTAGGTCTCGGGATGTTCGAATGCGATGGCTATGATATCATTAGCCGCTTGGTTGCCACGGCACGGAGTGCTTGGCACGGTTTATAGAATGATTACATATATATGTTATGACATTTTAATATATATATATATATATACATACACATGTATATATATATATATATTTATATAAATATATATATATATGGACTTATGGACTTGTCCAATTTTTCATGACAAACTTCAGATGTTTTTTTATTGTTATTGTTGTTGGTCGTGATGCTTGAAGTTCTGGGAGAAGCTGCCATGGAGGAATCTGTGACATCCGTTCTTTAAAGCAACAAATGCAGGGTGCCAGGGTGCCAGGGTTGGTAGGGCTTTGGTCATGTTAGTGAGATCTTTTTATGGGATTTCATGTGGGTTTTAATGGACATTGATGGGATCTTATTCTCTGACAATCTCAGTGACTCATGGATTACGGCTAAAAAAAAGTTGTAGATTATCACTATCACTACTGATCTGGTTGGTGGTGACTGGAACCATGGAATTTTATGACTTTCCCATCATATTGGGAATGTCATCATCCCAACTGACAAACTCATATTTTTCAGAGGAGTAGGGCTCAACCACCAACCAGTGATGGTTCTTAAATGAGTCTCTGGCTGTCAGGGATGGATATTCAGTCGTTGAAGAATCTACCCTCCCGTAAATCAAGGATGGAACATTTTCAGAGCACCCACTCTTTACAGTAGTTCCATGCTTGGAAAACCCCATGAAACCTCCATGTTTTCGTGGGGATTTTAACCACGATTCTCCTATATATGTTTTTCCCCAAGATTCTCCCCTATGTTTTTCGCAGATGTTCCGTTCCTAAGGGAATCTTCCAGCCATGTGGAAAATTATCGCTACCCACAGCTGGGCGGTGACTCTGGTATCCAGGGGTAGCCATATCTCCACCACCATACTGTGGTTGAATGTGGTATAATCGTATCAACAAGATATTGTAGTTGTTGATGTTTGGTTGATAGTATAGTAGTATATGATGATCAACCATGTTGTTGTTGAATGCATAATGGTATGACCATAATAGCATAATAGCATACTAAGCATCAATAACATTATGCTATTATAGTCATAGTAACACAATACCAACAACACGATTGGGTGTATAATATGATTTCTGAAAAGAACAACGTATCATTGTGTGGTTATGATGAAATGGTTTATAATACGATTATATTAAGGTTTGTGATTATCGGGTTTATAATATAATATCATCTATTAATGATATTACAGCAAACCAAACAACCTTATGTTATTGGGTTTATAATAATGATCTAGTGTTAAAAAGACACATGATTCACATGATCATTTAAATTGGCTTCATCAACTTACCTCACCTTCTCCGTCGTTGCGTCGTTCAAAAAGCCCAGGCAACGTGTCAGCCGATGTTCTCTTCAAGGACTACCCTGAGGTCGCTGCCAAGTTGAAGGACGGAAAGACTGCTGACCGATGCATCTGAGAAATCAATAATTTATAATCTATAAGGTGCATCAATAATCTATGATTATTCTAATAATTTATAGTCAATGTCATCGATTATAATAATCTATGAATAATCTATAATTGATCTTATTAATGATAATTAATGATGGTCTATAATAATCGAGAATCTATATTAGAATATCATATCATACAGATAGTACTGTTCAACTTTATGATCTTCCTGGTTTTAGACGAATTTTACACACCCTCCACTGGACGAGCCTAAAAATATGAGACCTTCGTCCGCCAGGACCATGTTCATGTGATCGATATGAATCTTTACGTCGCTTGGAGAGCGAAGCATGGTGAAGCAAGCTCAGGGATGGCAAGGATTGGCGAAAACGAACGACGCCCCATCGTCCCATCGTTCCATTAAGGGAGGTTTTTCGAACGGCACGTTGGTTCAATAGCTGGGTTCCGTATGGTTCAATATCATCCCATCCCCAAGACATTTGCCGAACATGCCCATGTTACTGGGGAGAAGGATGATCAACCATCGAATCTGGATGGTTTTATGATGTTTTACCCAGATTTTTTCCAGTCAAACTGATCAACTTACTGGTGCTAAACGTAGGGAATGGATGGGTTGCTGGGGGTTGCTGGGAGTATTATTAATAGTTATTGTGGATCATTCCCTCATTCCCTACGTTTAGCACCAGTAAGTGAAAAATCCTTTTTCAAAGTGGGTTTCCTGAGGCTCTCCATCCCATAACATTCCCATACATTCCCCATCGCCCACTGAGGTCAAGAAAGTGAAAGGTCCCGTAGGCCAGCGCGCCCCGTGATATATGGCCAGCGGCAGTGATTTTAAGGTAGTCTGACAATTAGGGAATCCTGATTTCCCCCCATGAAATTGCCAATTTTGTTGGTATATATAGTATGTTTATGATTTTATAGATTTTCAGACACAGCCATATGATCCCACAGTACCACGATCGAAAAACCACAGTACCAGATGGGCCGTTCTTTTTGGTGCCATAATTCCACAGTCCCAGGCAAACTTCAGCGCTAGGACCTGGATTTTGTGTACATAAATTCCACATTTACCCTCTGGTTATTTAACATAGCCCAATTTCATCTATAAATGGGCCATCTATACCATGGCTATGTCAAATAACCAGAGGGTAACTGTCGTTGGAATCTTCATTTTGGATGCTTTATTCATATGAAGTCCCTTGTTTGTTTTGCTTGGTGAAGTTAAATCCATGATTGGTTTGCCTCCCGCAAACAGAGATGTGGAACATTGTGGAACATCGCCATTTTCTATATCTATGTTAGTTTACCCCAGGGGAACTCACAATAAAACATATAGATTCCTATAGATTCCTATAGATTCCTACAGATTCCTATCGATTCCGTCAGATCTTTGGTTGGTTCAATCCTCACCAGCTCAGCAGCATCTCTGAAAGGCCACGATATTTCGTCGCCTGCCACGGATCCCAACTCACCGTTGTACCAAGGGAAAGACGCGCCGCTCAGCGGAGCCAGCGGTTTCGACTTCAGCCATGGGGGTACCCGGGTACCCCTTAAAAAGCTGGATGGTTAAGGGAAAATTCATCTACAAATGGATGATAACTAAGGGTACGCCCATGACTATGGAACCCCCCACTTTTCGGGCTTTTCACCCAAGACTTCTGGGAGAAAATGCGGGGTATCCATCCCCATCACCAAAGATATGATGAAATGATATGAAATGTGTGGGTAACAATCAAAGATTAGGGTAAAACCCATGTTTGCCACATGACCCAAAGTATACTTTGGTTCTTCTCATCAAATTGTGGGGATGTCATTCACATTGATCCGAAAGGCTTCCATCTCAAGAGTTTTTTTTTTGGGTTCTTATATTTGTTGTAAATGATCTACTAGATCATCTATATCACAAGATATGTTAGATAAAACATGATAAACTATCTAGTTTATATTTAGTTATAGTTATAATAATATACATATGTATTTGTATACATATACATCTAGAGATACGTATATCTAAAGTATATGTCTTTAAATTTTGACTTGACTCTCTCTCTCTCTATATATATATAATAATATCTAAGTAGATGTCTAAAGTTCTTGGAATCCCGAGCCCTTTCGATGAAAACGATCGCGTGTTGAGGACTATGGAGCATCTGGCCAACACGCCTGTGTTCAAAGAGGTGCCGCCATGGGGATTGTATGCTTGGTGACGTCAAGAACCGGGTCAAAACCTATGAATCTACCATATAATTATGTGTGGAAATAAATAAAGATATGTTGGGAAATACATAATTACGAATTGCCCATTAAAGAGCTGTTTCTAGCTATTTCAGGGTATCTAGGGTCCAGGGTTTTGACTCATAGCCATGTGAAACATGGGTATTGTAGTGATTGTAATGTATCGTATCATATGTTTTGATGTGAATGCAATGTCAATGTTTGATGTTTTATGATTTGGGGTAAGGTATATTATAATATATTGCAATTGTAATTCGATGTAATTCTAGAATATTCATGATCAATGGCCTTTAATCATTATTGTTTCACGCTTCCGGATAGAGTATACCAATGACCGGAAGACGTCGCGACGTCAGTAACTGATGGCAGACGGAAGAGATTGAAGACGTGCCCAGCTTTTGAGGTGAACGGTGTTTGTTTCAGCCACTTTGGCAGCCAGGAATGATGAAAGTTGTAATTGGGGGCACTTCTCCAAGAAATCACTTCGGGTAAATCTGTGATGATATGGACTTTGAGCGAACCATGAAGCACTCTGGATATGATAAAAGATTTGATGACCAGTTTGCAGCCAATGTGAGTGCTTACAGCGATTTGCACGTTTAAGTGGCTCCAACCCCATACAAATTGGGTCTTGAACATATCACGTGGATCATGTAGCTTTGTGATTCCCAAACCAATCGGTGAATTTATTTTTATATACCCTCTGGGTTATTGAACATAGCTATGGGAAATGGCCATAGATGTATCATGTTTTATCTATATTATTAAACATGGTGATTTTCCATTGCTACGCTAGATAACTCCCAATTTAAGGGCCTTTTTTTTACAGGATATGCGGAAGATGATGAAGTTTCAAACGGCTTTTCGGCCCAGGTTTGGAGCAAGATCTTCAAGCTGGGAAACTTTGGAAAGTACGACTACACTGCCAAGTTGGATATAGATGTCGCTACGGCTGAACACGGAGGGTTGTGGACCGAAAACACCACGCCACGCCTCATAGATTTCTATTGGAATGGGAAGATATGTGGGTAAACCTGTGGCTAAAAGCGTTGATGTTCTTTTTCAACTGTGGCATTGCAAGCAAAGTTACAGCAGCTGAAGCTGTGACCTGTGTTTTTTTTGATTTCTCTTTGTTCGCCAGATGTTGATTTTTTAAGAACCCAAGCATCATCAAACATCCATTGGTGTCCCATCATGTTCCTTTGAACAGAACTTTACCCTCTGGTAATTTAACATAGCTGTTGAAAACTGCCATTTATAGTGGATTTTCCCATTGAAAACGGTGATTTTCCACAGTTTTTCAAACGTTTACCAGAGGGTAACAGCTATTTCGGGACGTTGAAATGATAGAATCTGCGGCTTCCCGCTCCGGGTTCCGACCCAAGAGGCAGCCCATGGGTGCCTACTTAGGCGGTGATCGTTCCCGCGCGCTTGTCCGGCATGTTGGGTGGACGCCCCGACACGGCGGAGTACTTCCAAAACGCCTATCATGACATGCAACTGGGCGAAACTTTGCGGCGAGACGCCATGGATTTCCGGACTTTGGTCCACGGGTCACTTGAATGGCTCCCATTACCCATAGGATCCATGTCTGCTATATATGGTAACATTTACCATCAATATACCCCAAATGTTAGCATATATACCATACATGGATCCTATGGGTTAGGGCGGTTAGGGGTTCATTTCCAAGAGTTTTCACCGAGTGAAGTCATGATATCTTGATTTCCAGTCCAATGTTTTTTTTGTTGTTTTTTGACTGTTGCCATCGCGGGATTCATTCATCAATGAATGGGCTGCTCCGTTGCTGGATTTTAAAACTCTTCCGGACTTTGACACCATAAACCATAGAATTCAGCCACAGCCAGGCCTCTCAACTGAACACTATCTGAGGGGGGGCGATCCTTTATATAATACCATATAATATAAAATAAATAAATATATAAATAAATATATATATATATATATATTATGTATATATATATATATAAAGAAAATTATAGAAATACTATCCATCCATAGACATCATCTAACATCCACAGCCATCCGCTTCTATCCTCACCGGACTGATAGGTATGGCAACTTTTTGCACGGTCCGATCGAGCTGATCAGCAAAAAGGGCGTCTACGCCTTCCGCGACGCGCGCCACATCTGCGCCTCGGAGGGCGTACGCGAAACGCGCCTCTTGGGGATTCATGGGATATTTTAACCGGTGATTTAACGTAGTGAACTGGGAAATCACCATTTTTAATGGGTAAATCATCATGGGTAAATCATCTATAAATGGACCATTTTCCATAGCTATGTGAAATAACCAGAGGGTACATATGCATGTTTTTTTTTCCATACAATAATTGAATGAATTGGATGGGGTGTGGATCGAAGTACATACAGGCAGGTAGCCCCACATCTGGTAGAAATTGCTGGGTTTACGTGACACTTTCCGGGGTTTTCCAGCATGATGCATTTCTGTTCGATGAGTTTTGTGATTTTTGTGTCAGATAAATGGGATGTACCCTCTGGTTATGACTAACATAGCCATGGTTTTTCGATGGCCCTAATCGAAATAGATGATTTTCCCTGCTATAAGCCTCCATTTATGGTCGGGTATCCCACAGAGTACAGTTTCTTCTTTGGTTATTGCAGCAGCATTTTTTCGATGCTGAGATGGCCTTGGCTTGAACATGATTCTTGCCAAGCGCTTTGCTTGGCGTTTTCCCAAGTGGTGGTGGGTCACTAGTTGATATGGTTATGGGTCAATAGCTATAAATTTAGCTTTTTTAGGGGGATGAACGGATGAACATCCATAAATCCCAGCTATAACTTGATGTTAGGGGTACCTCTTGTAACTTGACCACCATATCAATGGTTATTGATTAACGCCTGTTTTTTTTGGGGGGGGGATGAGAAACCGCCATGTAAGGAGACCATGTCATGATTCGTCCACATAGGTTATCTTCTCAGTGGCTGGTATCTTGGTGTTACTTATATGATAAGAACCTCATTGCAGAATTTGCCTAGGAAAAATCTACAGGTTCACCACCACATGTTTTTGTTTGCAATGCAATATTGACTGAGTTTATACATCCATTGAACTTGAGAAGTTATAAGTCATTGAATTGTATGTAATCCTATATAGCCAATTTAGGATACCATTGAGTTTTGAGTTATCATGATAGAAAAAAATGATAGAACAAGTTATAAGTTATCATGATAAATTGGTCAACCTTGTAATATGGTACATCAGGATACCCTCTGTCCATTGAGTAGGCTTTGTAGGTTTCTTTAAAACCAATCCATGTAACAAAAACCTAGACATATCTATGTTCTGTCATAAATCAATGGAAACAAGCCTATAATTTTGTCATAAATCAATCAGAAAAAAAACATGTTTTTTGTTTTTTAAACAAGACGTTAAACAAATGGTGGTTTTTAACAGGGACATAATTTAAATGGCTGAATTTCCACTGTGGGCCACTGGACTTCTTCAGGCTTCGACAAGATTGACCAGATGGCATTTGGAGAAGATTTCTTTGCCAAGCAATGCTGGGATATGATTCAGGACGGGCTCAGATTAGTGTGGAAAGCATGCTGAGATGAGATTTATAGAATTTATAGATGAGATGATTTATGGATGATGGATCATAATTGTTAATATAAGTGTTCCTGTTTTGATGTACCCTCTGGTAAACATACAAAAAGCTATTGAAAATGGCCATTCATAGTGGATTTTCCCATTGAAAATGGTGATTTTCCATAGCTATGTTAAATTACCAGAGGGTATGACAAGGAATTTGAAAAAGACAATGACATGTTGCACTCTGGGATCCGGATCGAAGCATTTTAGTGGCTTGGGAATGATTCAAGCCACCTTTTCGTTACATCATGGATGTGTCACGTCGAAACAACCGTTCGGGCAGCGAATTCCGTGGTACTTTGAAAGCAATGTTTTCGAAAACTCCAGGGGTTGGTAACTGTCCCATTTTGGGAATATTGGACATCACCTTATAGTAGCCATTATAGACCATATACCTAATGGTTGGGTGATGTTCAATGGGGACATTAAATGACCCATGAACTCTTTGCCCAGTAATTTTGGCACACTCTGGTTTAATTATATATTGGACATCACATTGATGTACCGAACGAACAGAGGTACCTGAGTAAAAACTCTAGAGGTACATGTTCAATGGGAATTTCAGGATCCTAAAATGGAGGTACCTACCATATATACGGCCTATATGGTACAGTACCGCCATTTTAGGATCCTGGAATTCCCATTGACATGTTGATGGTAAAATTGGTCACAGAAATCCAGAAACACTTCCCCTCGTTCCGACGAATCCGAAACGCGACTTGCCGACTTTTGCAGATCCATCCGGTGCCAACGATGGAGATCCGATTGCTTTATGATGACTATGTCCCTTGGTTGAATCTGGTGCCAACGAATGGGCTCGAAATATGTCGAAATGCCATTTTTTCATATTTTTTTCAGGATAGGTATCTGGTATGTCATAGGTATGTCATAGCATCGGATGGACCCATTAGTGACTTTACCCAGTACTTTATAGGGAGTATCACCAACCATTCATGTGATGTTGATATGCTTTATTTCAGCATGGCATCATATTCTGGTTGGTGGTTTGGAACATGTTTCATTTTTCCATAAATATATATATATGTTGGGAATGTCATCATCCCAACTGACTTTCACTCCATCATTTCCAGAGGGGTAGGGCGAAAAACCACCAACCAGTATATATATATATTATATATATACCACTATTTCCCCACATTTTCCTATGATTCCCCATTGTTTCTAGGGGATATATCCTATAAAACGGTCACCGGGCGGTTTTTTTCCAACGGAGCATCCGTCGTCATCGTCGCCTCATAAACCGTCCCGGTTTTCACGCCGGTTCGCTGTGGTAAGCTGTGGCAGTTGAAGAAAAGAGCGCTTAGCCTCTGGTAAACGTTAACATAACTATGGAAAATCACAATCTTTAATAGGTAAATCATGGTAAATCAACTATTTCTATGGTCCATGTTCAATAAAATATGTTAAATCACCAGAGGGTAAAGTTGATGTGATCATATTATGACGTTGGCATGTGTATGGGAAGTCTATTCCAGACCCCTTCGACATATCCTCCCATGATGAAAACAATGAAAATGGTACAGAATATAGAACCAATAGATTGAGTCTTCGCCACAGGTATCCATAGCGAATCTAGACAAACCGCAGATCTTGGTCAGATTTCAGATGTTATGTACAGATATGAAGAGTCCATCTCTTTCCGTGGCCAATGTCCTGTTGTTTTTTATCACTATGTTTTGATTATTGCCTAATTACCTGGGTTCCCATGATCATGTTCAAGTGTTTGTAGTTCAACTCTTTTTTCCTTCACGAAGTCAAGTCATTCTGACATTTGGAAAAAAAGATGATAATCATCCATTATCATCCATAATCTACCATCATAAGTCCATTTCTTTGCAATCCATCGGCCCGAAAAATCTGCGCCCGCCACAACGGCGGTCCGGTGTCGCATCCAGCCAGGAATGGGGGCTGTCTGCGAAGCATCGCTGTGATGCATTGACACTGGGATCGGCGTCACACGTTTGGAAAGTTTCAATCCCAAGACCTCCCAATTCGGAATAGTTGTTTGAACATGTTTCATTTATGTCATATATACCATATATTCCAGCCGGTATATTCCAGCTGGGTTTTCCCATGAACCTTGTGATTTTGCAACTCTACCTTGGGATATGGTGGTTAATGGGTTTTCCCATAACCTAGAGTTGCAAATCACAAGGTATGTTTTTGTTGGGTTTTGAGTCAAGCTTTTCCCTATACCGAACATTTCGCTGAGCCGGTCAGATCCAGTACGGCAGCCGGCAGCCCTTTAAGAACTTCAATATTGGGGACATCGAATCTGGTTGGTGGTGACTGGAACCATGGAATTTTATGACTTTCATATGGGAAAATATGGGAAAATATGGGACATCTATGGGACATCTATGGGAAATCTATGGAACCATGGAATGGATTATGACTTTCCCATCATATTGGGAATGTCATCATCCCAACTGACGAACTTCATCATTTTTCAAAGGGGTAGGTATACATGTTGAAACCACCAAGCAGTCTTTTTTTTGGGGGACTATTTTTGTTCCTATGTTTTACCTATATGTTTTTAATGATGCTTTGTGACCATCTCCCCATTAAAAACCAGGTGCTACAACATGCTACAACTATCTGGGTAAAGGCCATAATATTTCACTAACCTGAATAGTTAGGCCATTTGAAAATTATTTCCCTTACTAACCATGATTTCCAGTGAGGGAGAACAGTGAGGTCGTGATCAAATTTACCCAGAACTATGTAAAACTCGGTGTCAGTTGAGGAACCCGGATCCCATGGTCTTCAAGACGCAGCAGTACTTTGGAGTGTCGCTTGGTTTTCCTTCGCTGATGTTGCTGAGTTCAAAGTATAGGCTGTTCTTATACTTATATCATGTATAAGACTTTATGACGTCATACTCATCATACAATCATATGTATATAATATATATGTAGGGAGGATCCTCCAAGTTGAATTTATCTATGTCTTTGCACTTTTCGTTGCACTCACCGAAAAGCTTCCGCCGTTCCGTTGATGAAACTAATTCTATGGATGAAGCTCCATACATTGGATGTTTGAGGGAAAATTGGGTATCCCGGATATCCCGGATGACCCACTGCTTAATCTCTCTTAATCATCATTTATTAGTATTACAATATCTCTATTATTATTCTACTAGCCATTTGCGTGGGGGTAGACATGGGTAGCCCACATTTCAGATACAGCCACTTGGGTCCAGTGAAAGAAAGATGATTTGGAAGCGTCAAAGTCATGCAGTTATGGCCCTTTACCAATTATAAGTACTTATAACATCTTATAACTCCATTTATAGAATGTATAATCCCATTTGTGACCAGTTAGAACTAATAGCCATGGCCATAACTGTGTGAAAACCATCTTTCATGTGCAGTGCCATAATATTCATCGGGGTACCACAGATTTCAGTCCATTTTTATTTTTCCAAGCATCCACTGATGTACCTAACTTTGACATACCCATGTACACTAAAGGTCTATACACCAGTTAGCCTCCAGCAAATTCACAAATCGACCCTGAAAGTTCAGCCAATGTTCAGTGGAACTGTGGCGCTTCCAAGTCCCAACTCGTGGGAGGGTCTATATTAAGTTCTGGTAAACGTTTACAAAAAACTATGGAAAATCACCATTTTCAATGGGTAAATCATGGTAAATCCACTATTTCTATGGCCATGTTCAATAGCTTTTTGTATGTTTACCAGAGGGTAAGTTCTGGGAGGGTACCTCAAGACCAGCAAGATTTGTTCCCAGGTATCACCCGCGCAAGAGCATGACCACTTGGTTACAGTGCAGAGAACAAACCGGCGTGCCTGGCATCCCATCGAAGGTGGCTGGGACCCATGCTGGGACCCTACCAGTCACCATGAAATACCGTGAATTGAGATGTCAGTGAAGATCCCATAAAACATTGCTGTTAGTCAGGAGTCAGTGCTTCTATGATTGCTACCCTCTGGTTATGTCAAAATAGCTATTGAAAATGGCCATTGAAATAGTGGATTTTCCCATAAAAAATAGTGATTTTCCATAGTTATGTTAAATTACCAGAGGGTAAACCTCCATTTTCCTATGGTTTTCCTATGGTTTTCCCATTTTCGGTATCCTTATCTCGCTATCTCCCATCACAAAAAAGTCTGGGAGGCAGAGATGAAGGCAGCGATCAAGTTGGCTGGCCCAGGAAAGCCTTACGACATGAAGGCGAGGGAAAGGTCGTCATGTTGATTCATGTTTCCCATTGTGGAAGGGTTAACTCCCTGCTCAGAAGAAATAGGTATTGATTGAATGGGGTACCCCTAGTTATCATCCATTTTAGATTGGGATTGTCCATGCAATATCATGAAATAAACATAAATAAACCAACCAGCGAGCTTAGGATACCACCATATTTTGTCATATGTTGTCCCTTCAAGGGTCAAATGAATTCCCTGGTGATCTAATTCATCCGGAATGGAGTCCCTGGAGTCCTCTTTTCGCCTTAAGCGTACCGAGGCTCTTCCACAGATGTTGCGTAGGACGTAGGAGTTCTTCAGGTTATTGATTTACAGATCATGAATGACTATGATGTTTATATATTTTTATGATATAGAGGTATATAATGGTATATAGAGATTATTATTATAGTAGATAGAAGTAATTTAAATTAATCTAAGATGTATATACTTAGCGACTCTTAACGACAACTCAACTATTAGGTAACTATGTTCCATCCCTCACAAGCGCCTCGACTCGAAGCTCTCGAAGCTCCGCAGCCCTTGAAGAAGTACGAAGAAATCGCCTTGGTGTTGCAGCACCACTCGGTACCAGTGATCTTCTGTGCGGCAGGCCGAAGGACGAGTGGCGCTTGTTAATCCTGGCGGTTTGGGGGTTGGATCATCAAAAAGTCTTTGGGATAATAATGATGATAATGGAACAATAGTAATTATATAATATATCATCATATATCATCAATATAATTCTCATCAATAGTAGGTATAATAAATCATATTGTGTTCATAGTATGTATATATATAATTATAATCATGATCATAATCATGATTTTATGATTGCTAGCTGCTAGTAGGTATAGTGATGATAATCATCCATCTTTATTTTTTTATGGTTGTTTCATGATATTTTTCTGTCGCCTCCAGTCATCCTGGCCCTGGCCATAAAAATTATTGAAGATCACCTCACGGGATGTTGAACGGAAAATTCACTTTAGTCATCTGATTTAAACCCGCGGTTGTGGATTGGAGGCTAAGGTGTTTTTTCACAATGTTTCACATGATACCCTCTGGTAAACTAACATAGCCATGGAAAATCACAATTTTTAATGGGAAATTCCACTATAAATGGCCATTTTCAATAGCTATGTTAAATTACCAGAGGGTAAACATGGGAGAATCAGCTAATCATTATCCGGCTGATGAAATATCTCTTTTTTTTCTTGCCGGCCGTTTTTGAAGCTGGGGATTTTTCGACTTGGCGATTGCAGAAATCCCGGTGGTGCAGAAATCACACTTAGATGGGCCATGGAGTTAGTTAACTATAGTTAGTAAATGGATTATTTCATCGGGATTTTCTTTTTGGGGGTAACAAATCCCCAGTTACTAATCCCATGAATCGCGTTTTTCCCATGGCCCATCTAAGCATCACTGGCCGCAGGTTTACTCACCATGGCGTTCGCCGTATTGGTCAGCAAGCATCGCATCCGTTCGAACCGAGCCATCATGGTGGCTCGGGCCCGAAGTTGCGGAGTTGCGGTTGAATTCATCACGAAAAAAAAGGCTGGTTGAACTGGTGATACCCTCTGGTTATGTCAAAAAAGCTATTGAAAATTGCCATTTATAGTGGATTTACCCATTGAACATGGTGATTTTCCATAGTTACGTTAGTTTACCAGAGGGTAATTGAATGGCTATGGATTACTATAAATCACCATAGATGAAACACAACATATAGATCAATCAAAAATTGGGAACTGGTTCAATTAATTGCTTCCGAACCAATCCTTAGTACTATAGGATCAATTTGGAATATGATTTGGTAGCACATGTTACCCTCTGGTAAACTAACATAGCTATTGAACATGGCCCATGGAGATTTACCTATTAGAAATGGTGGATCTTTCCATAGTGATGTAAACGTTTCCGAACGGAGGGTATCAGGGGATATTTAGAGCTGATTACAGAGCTGATTGATTGGAGTCCATAGAAATTTATGTATATATACAATGTGGGGCCCCCCAGTTATAAGATGGTTTATAAACCCCATTAACTATAGTTATAGGTACCATAAACCATAGTTATTGGAGTTATAAACCAACTTAGCTATCTAGGGGGCCCCACTTTGTACCTTTTTCCATAGTTAATCCTAGGGTCTGGACCTGAGTTCACCAGGATAAAAAAGGTGAATTCGTCCCTGAAAAACAGGTGATAACCTCTAGACAAACCATTGGCTTTCTTGTTGCTACTATCCAGCCAATAATCCACTGGGAAAATCCTATCAAATTGGATGAGAGATACGATCCTATCGCTGTTGGGATGTTGGGATTGCCCTCTGGTAAACGTTTACATAGCTTTGGAAAACCACCATTTTTAATGGGTAAATCAACTATAAATGGCAATTTTCAATAGCTATGTTAGTTTACCAGAGGGTAGTATCTATTGTAAAGCTAACCTCAAGTTATAGATCGAGATGTTGAAAACCTATAGATGTATGAGGTAAATATCATCTACTCCTGGTATGGAAAATCAACATAATTATAGAAAATCAACTACCCTTTAACTATAGAAAACTAACATTGCTATGGAAAATCATGGGTAAATCAACTGTTTCTATGGCCATGGCTTCTATGTCGCAAACTGTGAAAAACTCGTCCATTTCTTTGGGGACTTGGGTTTTGGGAATTGTTTTTGGTTGACGATTGAGTCAATGTTGTTGTTGTTGCTGTTGCTGTTGCTGTTGTTGCTGCTGTTGCTGTTGCTGCTGCTGCTGCTGTTGCTGTTGCTGCTGTTGCTGTTGCTGTTGCTGCTGTTGCTGTTGTTGCTGTTGTTGCTGTTGTTGTTGTTGTTGTTCTTGGTTGTTTGCTGTTTGTTGTTTGTTGTTTGTTGTTTGGTGTTTGGTGTTTG